AACGTTCGCGGCTCGCCTCGATGGAAAACGATAACGGGACCATTGTGACCGACCATGGACGAGTCGGCCACGCCGCGGACTTCTAAATTATTACGCAGTTCCGGATTTAATGGCACCGCTGGCGAAGGGACGGCTCGCACATTTTTCCAACGGTTTCGCTCCTCTCGGCGAAGTTTCGGAGGGGAAAAGAAACAACGCGGGCGCACCGTTATACCTGGGAAACAAAGGGAATCGGGATACCTTCCGCGAAGGTGAACCTCTTCGCGGAACTATCCAGGAAGCGGGAAACGTCGAGCCTGTTTCCAGAGAATGAGGATTCTTTCGTGAAAGCGGCGCGTCTGAGATTATTGTTCCACGCCAAAGAAAACGGCGAAGTTCGCTTTGCGTTGTGTACGAAATTATTTTCTTGTTCTTAAAGTTTAATATAAAACTTGGTTTTTCCCTTTGAGAGTGTAGTTGATAATAAAACAGCTTTCTGTTTCTGGTACTGGCTCGCGAAGGTTAGTGAAACTCTCTTGTTTTTGTACTTCAAAGACTCTCTATCGAGTTAAATCTTTAATTTATTTTAGTGTTTCATAACAAATCTATATTATTTTATGTGAATGTTTTTCATTGAATCTTTTATGTACATTGGCATTTCTATAAACAAAAATTTGTGAGGAGAAACATTTATTCCGAAGTACCAACCCAAGGTTTTCTTAAAATATTCTCGAGTGATTTTATAAATTGAGATTTTTCTAACCTAAAATAAGTAAAATCCAGACGCAATTTATATAGGGATAACGTAACTTTCTAAATTAAAATTCGAGGGGTCCTTCGCAGATTTAATTTATTCAGGCGATTCCGAATTCTTAGAATATTCCTGGCGAACTTCGCGGGAAACTGTTTAAATTAGCCCACTGATTTTTAATCGCCTTCTCGATCAAAGTCGTCGATGACGATTAGTAGAAGTTAAGTCGACGCGGACGGGAGATGGTTCTGGGGGATGGTGATAAAATTCCTTTCCAAGTTATATTAACGCCGTTACTCGTTCCCGCGGGCTCCGTGGACGAACTTTAACCGTGAATAATGAAGGAGTCCAAGGACGATTATTTTTCCTAGCGAGGGGACGATATTGGACGCAGTGCCCTGTAATTTCAGTCGCACGCCATTTTTCGCTCATATCGAAAAATCCCTGTCGGGAAGACGAACTTCTGATTCGTCTTGGAAAAGTGAATCCTCCTGGATAACTAATTAACAGGAAGAGAAGAATTTAGAAGAATGTATGTTTTTATTTCTCCACATACTGTAGCTAAATTATTTTACTTGCAATCCTTAATCTTATAGAGATAGATTGTTCACTTATTAAATTCTCAAGATTTCTGGACCATAATTTCGACACATAATATATTTTTATTTTTATTTAAATTTAAATTTAAAAACTTTATAATATATTTATATAAGTTGAGAGAAATGGTAATGTAACGTAAAAATAGTTTACATTATAACAAGATGTTCCCACCACGAGGATGATTGCGAACGGACCAGTAATGAACTTGTCTCTCGTACGTATCGACAACCGTTTCATCGAACGCGAGATCAATCCCAGCGTGGATCCGTAATTGTTAGGGGCACATACAGTATTTGTAATTCATCGGTCCCGCGTGTCAAATTTTACAATGGCCGTCCTCATTATATTTACAGCGACGCGGCCGACGCTGCTTACCTGTCAATGGGCGCTGGAAACAATTTATAACTCGCCGGGGCTGGCTATGCAGATTCATCGAACGATTGTTACTGTCCGCCATCAAAATGCAACGACGATGCTAGCCGCGGTTGCGTGGCATCCCTCCGGTTTAATTAGCGTTACAATGATCGGGAAATCCCCGGTATCATAGTCACCGTCGGTGTCGCTCGTGGATAATTGCTGTACACCCGACCTTCCGTGCGTAGCGCGTCGCGACGTGAATTCATAAATCCTCCTACGCGATTCAACGACGAAGCAAGACGACAATGGACGCCGATGAGATGCCCAGGGATGGGTTTGATTTTTTTTTTTTTAGGAAGGATAATAGACGAGGAATGAAGTCAACGTACTGGAATTTATTCGCGAATCCGATTGGAAGTTTCCGTTGCTCGTTGGGGAATATTTAATTCTATGATTGATATTTTTATTTTTATTCTGCAAGTAATTGATAAGCAGTTGATTTTATTGGAATACGAATTCTTGAGCATATAATATATTTTTGTTTTGATAATCTGAAACATAGACTTGGAAATTTTTAATTGAAATACTTTTTGAGATTAAAAAAATTGATGCAACGCGTATTCGATTGCATAGGTATATTCTCAGGTGTCCATTGTGATTTATTTCATTTCAGCATACCTTCTAAATGAATTCAAGAGTTAGATAGAATGCGATCCATAGAAGTAGATATAAATATTCTGGTGTAAAGAAAATCTGCACCTTTATGCTGTCGTTAACCTGAAGTTTCATTCAAAAAGCATATAAAATTATTTCGTCTTATTTAAATCAGTTTTCCCCATTTCGCGTCAATAATAACGCAGCTTTATACAATCGTGAATTCTCCATTCTAAGTACAGAGCTCTGCGTAGCATTATAAAGAGAAGTTCAAGGTGATTCCTTCGTTGGTTGGAAAGCAAAGGAAATCGGATTGATCTGCAACACTCGAGTAATTTTTCTATTTAAATGAATCTCGTTGATATAGAGTTTACAGCTTCATAAGATTCCGCTCGTGTCAAAGTAACTCGCGCGAGAGGGAGATCTTTGAAGCTCGCCGATGCAGTTGTGATAAAATACTCCCCAGCCGTTGTTCTTCGCGTCTTTGTTACCACCATTGGCTACCCTTAAAGTGGCCTCGCGGTAAAGAAAAATTATTGCACGACAATGGACGGAGATAAGTGGTTTCATCCGTGAAAGCCAGACACAGCGGGACAGGCTTCGTTCGTATCGCGACAAAGACAAGTGACTGTTCCCAGTAACTCATTTTAACATTTTTCAAACGGTGGCCGAGCCAGTTATCAAACTTTTGTTCATTTGTAAAGTAAAATACACTCTTTATTTATGAAGAATTTTGCGAGAAAGAGTAATAAATTATGCACAAATTTTTACAAACTTTCTTCAAATTTGATAGATACATGTACTTAAATATATTGTAGGGTGTTATTATTTTTCAAAATTTAAGGTAATATTTCAAGGTATCTTTCTTTATCTTCCATACTTTTAATAATTCAATCGACAAATTTAAGTTTCTCCATATTACGAAACAAATCGATTCGTCTGATTGAACACAATACTGGTTAAAACAAAAGGAAGATAAATCCAACTCCGTATCGCACATAAAGAAATTGAAAGCATTAAAGAGCGACGCGAATGCTCGCGTAATCGCGGCTTCAGGGTCCCTTTACTCGTTTCCTGGAGCTTGTCAAAGACCAGAAGAAACGACCGACCGTAAATTATCCCACGCCGAAGAGAATAACGACGGCGACGGAAGCGTAATGAGAACTCGTCTTGGAGATCGTCACGCGGGGGAACCCCCGGTGGCCATGCTTGCGTCAGCGAAACTTTTATTAAAGCCGCCGCGTTTTAATATACAAAGCACATTTATCTTGAACGCTGTGTTGCCCCTCTTTTTTCTTCTTGATCGTCCTGAATACCGCGTTCAAGATAAACGAGCGGGGTTCTATTTGGGTGCCCAAGAAAACACTGGATGTTTCCCTTGAGTCTTCTATGAGATGGGAAAAATATACAATCTTTACAGAATTTTTTGTCATAAGAGTAGTTGAGTTATACATATATGGATAAGCTTGCGAGGAAGAAGAATATTTTCCTTCCTCAGAGTCAAAGAAGTTGACCTGAACGACCATCCCTTAATTTTCAGTAACTAAACACCCCAAAATCAATGTTCTTTCTGTAATACTATTCTGGTTCGAATCACAACACGATTTTTCCATCGAAGCCTCAAGAAACGTGAAAACTATCCCTTAGAGGGATGCCGCATTGGTCCTAGTCGAACCGTGGTCCAAGGACGTCGAAGAGGGGCCGAACAAGCGGCTGCATAATCTGATTTCGCAGCACGATTCGTGCACAATTCCTCGGCGCACGCTAGGCAGCATAACTTTGCACTCCGCGTCTCCGAGGAACTGCACCGAACTAGGCACGGCCTACGGGAGTCCGCGGAGAAGTTCCGAGTTCGGTAACTCCTGTGTCGACTGCGTCGATGTGTTTTCGCGTGGTCCCGCCTGGTTGCCGCTGATAATTTTCCCCGCTGTCTCGAGAAGTTCCCGTCGCCGCAGGTGTCCGATGTTCCGCGAGGCGGATCCCAGACGCTTCTTGCCCGAGACTTGGCGATACGTCGACGCAATCGAAAGACTTGGAAGTGTTTGATTTACCGGATCACTCGATCGGGCCGAAGTTGTCGACATCTTTCTCTCTGGGTTCGATTGTTAACACGTTTACTACCAGAATTATACTCTTAAAAATTTGTATTGTGATTAAACTTTGTTTATAGAGTTTTAGAAACTACATCATTCACTTTCTTTGACATTTAACCTACAGAATTAATTTTTTTATTTCTTCAATGAAAAGCACTGTCTGGGTTAAGATTATAGTCTTGATGGTGCTGTAAGCAAAATAAAAATATGATTGACGCAGCTAGAGGCTGGGGGTGGGTTTCGATGAGACTTGGTTTCGCGCATCTATCGTTGATGATTTGTATGGCAAAGAGAGAAATAGATATCGCATTTCCTTCAACAATGATTGAATTAGAGAAACGATTACTCGTAACGTATAATAGCTATGGAAATAAATATGGGCCTGGTTAGTGACTAAAATCAAACTATTATGGGTAAAAAATATTTAAATGGGAAAATATTACCTTTAAATACAGAAACTAAACTACCTTTTCGACAACACTAATCGCTGTATGAATACCTGAAACACACCTAACTGTGCCTACACTGTGTCTATCCCACCTAACTGTCTGTTTCACCTGTTTCAGACATGCTACGAGATGGAGAGGTACCTGAAGGACGAGCCGAAGCTGCAGTCGTACAAAAAGTTGCCCACAGAGTTGGACACGGCCCCTTGGAACCTCTTCAGGGCGCCGCCAATCTCGTGGACGGCCTCCACTGGCACCGCAAACGCACAATTCGAGTCGCCCATAAAAATGGAGGTGAGTAACCACGTCACCCACGATCCGGGGGGTGGCGGATTCGACGGTTTCCCCCAAGGGGCCATTTCCCTCGATGTCCGTTGCTCCTCGTAGCGTCTGTGTGTGTGTTGACCAGAGGTGTCGAAAAGCCCACTTTTTATTCTCTGTCCCTGATGCCGGCGCAGATGACGACGCCGTCGGAAGACAGGGAAGCGCTCTGTATCGACGACATAAAATTCAGTCCCAGCGATCACAACCACAACGGCCGCGATAGGGATCTCCTGGACCGACACCTCGATTCCTTGTCGATGTCGTCGGCGAGTTCGGCGTGTTCTGCGTTGTCCTGGGACAGCTCGCCCTCCCTCTCGTGCACGGCACTCATTCTCAAGAAAGAGCCCAGCGAGGATCTCGAAGAGGATGAGGAGCACGAGGTGCGTTCAAGTCGGATTTACATCTTGACACTTATCGTCCGAACTTTATCCCTTCCCACCTCCGTGACAGCCGATGTCGCTTCGCGTTCTTTCTTCGCGTCTATTCTGTTTTCTTTGAAGTGTGTATATTTTTTTTTTGTCTTGTCAGACCCGAGCTCAACGACGCGCTGCCCACACCCTCGGTGTCCCTGACACGCATGGAGTTGCTTTGCATGCGAACGATTAATTTACGTAAATCCAATGAACGCGTAGTCGTGTCCAGCTGTCGGACGAGCTCCTTCTGATTTTTGATGGGTATTTTAGATGGAGGCTCAAGGCGAACGCTTTGTAATAATTTTTCATTCGAACTTGATACCGAAATAAACCGTAGTCAGACTTCATCTTTTATTTATATGTAATTTATACTGTAATATAGCGATGAATTAGATTAAAGGGACGAAACCAAGGTATAAAAGTTAAAACAAAAATATTGTAAGTCCCAGTTCCTTATTTGCATACAAAAATATCGAACGAACCCAAGTTCGTATTTGCGAAAAATCGGAACGAGCTCGACAATCATCTCCCCGACGAACTCGCAATTATCGATAGGTCGCAACCCCTAGAAGATTGACTCCATTCGGTGACTCACTTCGAACCCTCCTGTTTCGGTGCATCGCGAGCACAATGCCCGTCAGATTTCAATTACCATCGGGCGCCAGTTACACAAATAACGATTCTTCCCAATTTTCCCCCGTTTCGCGCGCCGACTATAGTGTAATTTAACGCGCGCCGACTATAGTGTAATTTAACGCGCGCACGCGCAACGCTAGACTCGTGTAATCCGTTTACGGGGTCATTTGCCATTGATCGATTCCCAGTACGTGCGCATCGATGTCCGATATCGTTTTAACCAGTTGCTTGCGCTTTAATCAGCCCTTCCCCCTCAGTTATCGTAATCTCGTTGCGTAATGAATTACGTTTGCGGCGCAGGAAATCGAAGAGTACGAGGACAGCGGCTGCGAGAGCGAATGTCAGATCCTGACGCCACCGTCGAGCCCTGGCTCGGGTCAAAGTCATTCCAACTCCAGTCACTCGTCGAGCGGGAGTTCGATGCTCGACGTCCAAAACCTCAACCTTCACGGAACGGGTGGCAGGAGCGCCATCGTCAGGGTTACCACCAGCAACGCGCAGGGTGTCGCAAGGTGACCACGTTAAACCTCTTATTTCAATGTACATATACACGAGTAGTTTTGGTTTGTTTGGTCGTGGAAAACAGAATTGGCTCTTTGAATATTCCGCTGATGGATTCTTCGATGAGGATTAGGGGAAGCTATTAGGCGCAACTCTGAATTGGGAAAAGGGAAATTGAGGGGAAACAAAATTTTCTTTCAAACACATATTCATTGTATTCTTAAAATATTTGGCAGTACAAACAAAAAATGTAGAATACAAAAACTTGTGAAATTAGTGCAAAATTCACTCTTCTTTCTTGTCTCTGTTCGTCAAATCGATATCATCGGTTTTTCTAGTGACCGGAGCTGCCTCCTTATTGCAGCACATCCCTCAATTATAGAATTTTCTATCAGGCTGAGAAACGAGAAAGATTCTTGACACATTCGCGACCGGCAGATATTTTACGTTTCTAATATCGAGTACTGATGAAAATAATACAATTCTGAACCTGGACATCGCAAATTTGTAGCATTAAGCATGGGTCACGTTCATCCTAATATATTTCGTGATTGATTAGGTACGGGAACACGGAACGATGTAGGCCTAATCTTTTTGCAGACTGATCTCCGTCACAGCGAACGGCTACCCTGCGGTCGCAGGCACGCAACACGCACATGCAGGGACCACTGCAGCTGCGAGCACCGTGGCCAACAGGCACCACGCGAGGAGCCACGAGCACAGTCCGCCTGACACGAAGCGCAGGATACACAAATGCCAATTTCCGGGATGCAAGAAGGTGTACACCAAGAGCTCGCATCTGAAGGCCCATCAGAGGACGCACACGGGTAAGCGACCAGTCCTGCCACTCTGGCTCATTTACTTAGCTAACTAACCGACAGGGAGTTCGTTCTGATTCAATTATTCGACATGGTAAAATGTTTTGCTGAAAAGGTAATGAATGGTTAGGTGTATTGGAGTCTCGTATTGCCACGTTTCGAGATGAGTTGTGGGGATGAAGACATTACTCGTCAATAGTAGTCAGGTTTAGCTTCAATTTGATGAACATGTATTTTATAAATGAACTACAGTTTGGAGCTCAGAGAGAGTAAAACATAAAATGAACTTTTTTTAAATTTTTATACACAGTTCTTATATACTATATATGAATTATATACAGTTGTTTCATGCATTATTCGATTTAGTTTTATGTAAAGTATTTTTGCACTTCATTGAAAAATTGTCTATAAGACCAGTCATTAGCCACAGTTATCGAAAAGTTCACGTATGTCACAAATAGTTCAACAAGATATTTTATACATATACTTTGATAACAGTTTCCGTTTAGTCGATATCACGTCATGACTGGAAGAAACATCGCTCAATTTGTATCGTTAAAATTTATACTAGGTCTTGTACCGCAGCGTTATTTGTAGTGCTCCTAAAATATCGTGTGCGACAATTTTCCAATCATTTTCTCAAATACAACTTCGACATTTAGTAAAAGAAGAATCAGAACTGACATGCTTATATCTCCTACGACATACAAATGTTTACCTCTTGAAAAATATTACTCAATTTCACCAGTACACGAAAACAGTCCTACGAATACCCAACTCGAAAAAAAACTAGCGGGATGCTGGTTCGCGTTCTAGTCCGCGTCATGAATCATGAGATCGCGTAATGGTTCGGTGTTAATGGCCGCAGGCGACGTTTGCATGCGCCGCGACGGGGCTTCGTGTTGAAACGCGATCAACATTTATCACTCTTTCTGCAATTAAGGTAACGCACGTGCGAATTATCAATGGCGTCATCGCCATTAATAAACGACGTTCGGGAGTGCGTCTGTAGTCGGGCGGTGGCGCGTTTTCGCGCGCTTTGCGCGTGCACTCGCGCGGATCCTTTCTCCGCGATCCGCTTAAGCGTTAGTCACGCGATTATCCGCGTCGTCTGGCTGTTTGGGACGAGGTATATCTTGCCAGGCGGTCGGGAACAAATTCCCCGACAGTTACCCCGCCTCCCCTATCGCGGAGAACAACAATGCATAATTAATTACGCGGGCTGAATTAAGGGGAACCCGTTCCCGCTTGTATCGTAGCCTGGCCCCTCGAACCGCGCGTGAAACCAGATGAACCGCCATGCCCATCAGCTCAGAACCGGAAGATGCATGTTTAACGAAGACCGAGCGGCGTGTTTTCTTCGATCGATCGCGGGATAATCGACCTTTGGTGTCTCTGTACCCCAGGCTTACGTTAAGTTGCACATATTTCATTGGCAGACGCTTACGGAGTCCAGGATTCCCAAGATTTAGTTCAACGTATAAAGACTGCGGTCTCCATTTAAGCCGCCAAGCTATAGAGGAAGATCGACTCAATCGAAATCTCGAGGCATGTTTTTCCCTTGATCGCAACGTAGAGACCTCTGCTTTACTTTCTTGGATGAATTAACCCCTTGGACTCCAAGCAATTTGGCTATATGCAGGTAGTCAAATGCAAGACCAGTTTTCTTAGATTTCTGAGTTGTTTCAGAAATTCAGAAAAAAATTCGTGAAAAGGGCCTTCGGAGTTTTAAAATAAAAGACACTTTTGAAGAATTGACACGTTGGAATTAATTTTTTTATTTCCTTAATGAAAAGTCCCATTTCTGGCTGACGTGGGGACCAAAGAGTTAAATAAATTTCAAAGGTCAATGATTCATTTAGACCAGCTCTCTGCATTCCTGCATTCCTGTATCGTCTACCTCTCAAACGCACGTGCTCAATTTGAAACTGATAGCTCAACACGAACCAGTGCGAACACTCTCCGCTCGAACGCATCGCTTGCCAGACCAGGAAGTGGCGGCATACGGTCACGTTGGCAGCTCTGTGGAAGTCACGAACGTCTCGCGAGCCGTGTTCAAAGGACTCGATTAAGACGCATCCAGGAGGCATTAAGCGTTCGAAAAAGAAATCTGAAAACTTCCTGCGCAGGTTTGTTCCGCGTCACCGATCGTCGAAAGAAAGCGAGCCGGGTAATTACATGCAAGAAATCGTGGCTCTTTCGTCGTCACTTTCGTAAGCTACATCACTTTGAGCGAAGAACTGACCGAGCACGTTATTACCATGCGGTCAGCGCACCTTCTCCGTCGTCCTTGCGCTTCACGGATGACTGCGACTGGCTGTGACGACGGGGGTCTGTAATTAACGAGGACTCTCTTCCTCTCGCTTTCTCACTCCCTCGCGACCTTATATTCATCATTTGTCTCACTTTGGATACAGATTTCTTCACTTCACGCTTCGAATCCCTTCTTTGAACGTTGATCTGAGTTAGGACTCTCTTCTGTATCTGTTTCTCTCTCTGATACATCCCTCAGGTTCTTCATCTCTTCGAGTATCTCTTTATCCAAGGATTTCTTCTTGTCACGCTTCGAACTCTATTGGTAACCACCGGACTGGTATAGAAGTCTCTTCCTCTCTCCTTTTCAATCTCCCAGAGCCCCAAAGTGCTCCATCTGGCTCGCTATGGCTATAGATTTCTTCACTTCAGCCTTTGAATCCTTTTTCTGAATATTGGTCCGGCTTAGAATAGAGATAATTTTAAGTAAAATTTATTCCGAATCTCTTTCCAAGGAATATAGAAATCCTGAGATCTCGAAGAAACTCCGATGCAAAACTTCTTTCTACTTTTAAATATTCTTTTAAATATTCCCTTCTAATGTGTAGTTCGATACAAAACGATCTCAAATATCAATTCCTCGGTGAAAACGATTTAAAAACTCCTAGACACCTCGCTATATTCGATCCCACGTCGATTTCAGAGTACATCGGTCCCGGCAAAGTGCTCGAAATTTTCCAAATTCCGAAAAAGTCGGAGAGATCGCTGTCGCGGTTATCCAGCGTCGAGTTCGATTCGATGTAAATCTGTCGGACGATAAAATACAGGGACCAGTTGCGACGCGAGCTGTCAAATATTTAACTACGCGATGCGTTTCCATGCGCGGGTGTCTTTCATAAATTTATCTCGAAATCCGTTTCATGATTACGCGGACGCGTGTCGCCGCACACGCGGACGATCGACGCCGACACGTTCCTGTAATTGTACGTACAAGTGATTAAGCGTGTGTACGTGTTCACATGTATTTACTCACGTGAATAGGTACACGTGCGCGGTGCCTTCATGTGTGTTTATTTACTTGGTCGAGTGTGCTCATCTGCATCCATACGGTGTGCCTATAGGAAAGCGAACAGATGGGTAATTTCAGTCTCGGTATTCCGCTGGATGAGGTAACGTGAGCATGGTGGAGGAACATGGGTTGCAGAGGGGTAGAAAGACGAGGAGGCACAGGTGGATCAACTGAAATGGAATCACGTCATGAAAATGAAAAAACGACGGTGGTATGGGAGTGACCTATTAGACACTAGTACATTTTATCGAGATTTTGTAGGTAGGTAGAGAACCGAAGAGAATCCTTAATATCATTGGAAATGTGCATTAATACACTTTCATTCAAGAAATATCGACACAATTAATTTTGTTCGTTAGAAATACTTAAGACATGAATGTAGACAATGTCAGTGCGGATATGATCGTCAAGACATAGACCATATTTTATGACAAATATCGTCTCTCTCTAGACGCGAGTATCTCAGACAAGGCAACCTGAGGTTACATTATAATCAATGAGTAAAGTTTCTTAAAAGCGAAATCAGATTTGAAAAAAAATTGTTCTCCAACGCTTTGGGTTTGTTTTCGTTCGCTAGAGAATTCCTTCGCGGTACCACCCGAATTATACACCCGCGGAGAGGGACAGGGAAAACACAGAGGAGAGGAAAGTGAGAAAAACGGAGGGAAGAAAACGAGGGGGTGATGAGAGAAATACGAGGACGGGAGGGAGGCGGAGAGGCCGCGGGAGGGTAGGCAATAAGAGAGAGTTGGCTGGGACGCCTCCATCCTGCAGCGTGGCAGGTACGTCGGGATTGCTTCTCGCGGATCGTTAAGCAGAACTGCTAACTACGGGATTATGCATACTGCGGGCTCCGTCCCACAATTATGACTCTGTTATAAATTCGTCCTGACACAAGGATCCCCTCTGTGTCGGAAAGGCTCCGCGCCAGACGACGTCTGCGTCACGTATCAGTCGCTCGCCCGAACGTTTATTTTGCAACGAACGCGGCCAGGAAGGACGCAGCGCATGTGCGAGCCTCCGCAAAGCTATTACTTTCCTCGTAATTGGTTTCCCGTGTAACGGATTTTCGGGATTTTCTAGTTAATCGTTCGTCCGTGGCCCGTGTAACGTTTCGACGGGCACGGGGGTTTCCCTTAATCCAGTCTCGTTCCCTCTGCATAAACGGTTCGATATTACGTCGCGCGGCCTGTTTATCACCCCGTTAAGATACGACCGGCGAAATAACGTTCTCGCGCTTAAGATTGTTGGTTACTCGCGAAATTACTGGGGATTGAACAGAAACATTGTACGTTGTACATGTTTAGCATCGGGTCGTTTATGAAAGAGGGTTGCTGCTTTAACGTGTTTGCAGGGGAATGAAACATGAAGGATAGGTAGTTTTTTAGGGTTGATATACAGTCAAACCTGTTTTTGTGTGGTAGATAGGAATCGTATGAAAAAACGCACAAAGAAATATTTAAAAACTTCATAAGTAGCTATAACAAATAATTGTTGATATTGTATCGAAGAAATTTATGTTTATGAAGTGGAGAGGGACCGCGTACGAAAAGTCTCACTCAGGAGTATTCATTTTAAGAGAACACTTATGTCTAAAAATATAAATAAAATTCATGTCGCTGGAACGGAAACATTCGAAGAGATACCTATACCTTTCAGTCACCGACCGCATCCCTGTTCAAATTCG